TAATTCTCCATATTTAGGCAAAATTTTGAAAAATATTTTTTATTGGGAATCTTCATACTAATCCCTAAAAAATTTCACTTAATATTTTTTCATAAAGAATAATTATTGGGAAGCTCTCAAATATCTAGGTAAGGTCCCAATTTTTTTTTTTTTTTGCTTATGAATATTAGTTTTTTATTTAAAATGATATTCCAAAAACCATCATTTATTAATTAATTTTTTTGAAAAATAATGAAATGCTAGTACGTATCATATGGAGCAAATGTATAACACTGGTGCAAATGAAAATGCAGACAATTGATTAAACTTTATTTGACATATACTTAAATTTTATTTTAATTTAATTCTGTTAAAAAAAACTTTTATTTAGGAATAAATAAAAAAAATTTAGTATTGAAACATTATCTAATTCTCCAATATTTAGACAAAATTTCGAAGAATATTTCTCTACTTAGAATTTTTATGATTTGCCTTAAAATCTGGCTTAATATTCCTCCATGAAAAGCAATCATTGAAAAGCCTTGCAATATCTAGATAGAGTCTCAATGATTATTTTTACGTAGGACTATTAACTAAGATTTATAAAAAAACTAATTTTCAAAATTATCGTTTACTAATTCATATTTTTTATTCATGCATAATGCAACAAGAAACAAATACATGATGCCAATACAAATTAAAAGCCTCAAATAACCAATAGAAAAATCAAAGGCGAAAGAAATTTTACTTATTAAATATTTTTTTTGTGTGAAGGAAAACTTTCTTTAATCCCCCAATATCGAGGCATAATTTTGAAAAAATTAATCCTACAAAATATGATTTAAATTTTCTCAAATATCTAGGTAGGCTTTTCAAAATCATTCATTTTTGTTATTGTTGTTTTTCTTTTTACTTAAAATATTATATGTTTTTTGAAACCCACTTTTAACAATTAATTTTATATCACAAAAATTATGATACATAAATAAATTTGAAGAAATAAGAGAAATTATACCTTGCAAGTTGAAGAAAGTAGGCTAAACTAGATTAGTCAACTGTATTGATCCTAGATATATGATAGGCTTGGGTCACGACTTGGGTCAAATTAGTTCAAAAGGCATCTAGGTCAAGTTAACCAAAAATTTTATTTTTCTTTTTTTACCCATTCAAGCCCCCAATCCTTTTTTGTTTGAAAAGTCAAACTTCCCCCTTTTTATTTTCCTTTCTTTCTCCTTTTTCTTTCTTTTCTTCCTTCTTTCCTTTCTTTTTCTTCTTCCCCTTTCTCTTCCCAACCAAACCAGGCTTTCACCCTTGTTTTTAATCACCGTTGGTTTTTTTTTTTTTTCCTCTTCTTTTTTTTCTTTTTTCTTTTTCCTTTCGTTGAATCTTTTTTTTTTGCCTTTTTTCGTAAACTTAGTACCACCAAAACAATTTGCAACTCTTTTTTCATACCTTTTTTTCTCTTATTTATTTCTCTTATCCCTTACAGCTGAACACTAACAACTTTTCTACCTTTTTGTGTGATTTTTGTTTTTTTTTTTTGGTGGTAGGGGGATTGGTGGTTGTATTTTTGGGGGGTATTTGTTCTAAGATGGTAAGGAGGTTTAGCTGGGTTGTTTGGTGGTGGTGAAGATAAGGTTGCTTGGTTTTGGTGTTGGTCTCCTCACTTTAGGAGATGTGGTTTATTTTTTGATTGATTTGGTATGTATTGTGTGTTGTTTGAAAACTTTTTATTTAGATGGGAATATGTTTGGCAATGGATTGATTTTGGTTTTTGGGTAGTGTGATGATGGTGAGTTTGGTGATGGTGGCATAGTGTGTTTATTTGAGGGAATGAAAGGGTTGGTATTGGGTCTCACCAATAAGTAAGGAGCCGAATGAGGTTTTTGAAATTTTTTTATTGATTTTTTGCTACTTTGTAGAATGAATCCTGTTGTTGCCTCTTGTGTTCCCTTATATCTTTGTATTTGGTTATTGTAAAATCAAATAAAACACAGAGAATTAATGTTTCACATAATTACAGTACCAAAATTGCTAAATCTAGAAAGCAACCTAAACATTTGGATTGTTGTGGTGTGGGTAGGTAAGGTTGTTGCTAATTTACAAAGATTGGAACAATGCCAGCTTGAATATTTATTTATTTATTTATTTGCTCTAAAAAAAAAGGATTTTGGGCTTTGAAATTAAATGTGTGTTTATTAGCTTTTGGGCTTTTAGGCTCATATCATGATTTTAATCTAAAATTGAATTGGGCTTTCAAAATTGGATTTGGACTCGAACAATCAATTTGAATTTTTATTGGGCCCTAAGTCCAACTGTCTAAAAAATGAAGTAATCAAACTTTAACTCATATAAGATGATCATCAATATTTTAATATGAAATCAACAATGAGTCTGATTAAACTAAAACATTTGAATTACTTTAAATTGTCAGCCTGACTCAAAATCAAAATTGAATACAGTCAAATTGTTTCAAACAAAAATTAGATGTCTACATAGATAAAATTATAATTTTTTCATTTTGATTTATAATTTTCTTAAAAAAAGCTATGAAATGTATATTACTTAAAAATTAATTATGAAAAAACTAAGAATAAGATAAAACACATAATATAAATGAATCATCATAAAGAGAAAATGAAAAATAAAATAACATGATGGCCATTTTTTTAAAATTTGGAAATATAATATTAGTATTTATTAATTTTCATATATTATTTTGGTAGATTCTTTTAACCTTTATTGGAGTACATAGTTATTTTGTCAAACCTTATGAATCATGTGGCTTACATATTAATTTCACATATTAGTTTTTAAAGATAGTTAAAAAACAAAAGAAAAAATTTTCCTAAAAATATTATAAAAAAAAAAAACTATTAATTGACTATACTTAACTTGATATGGCATAAAAAATAGTGTCATACTAGGCATAGCACGGCTCATAAGGGTTATGGGTCATGTGTCATGATAGATCATATTTTTAGTTCTCATGGATTGTATTGACATGACACATTAAATAATAGTACTATGTTGGCGTGATCCATTAACATATAAGTTATTTTTTAATGGGTCGTACTAACCCAACACAATCAATTTTACACCTCTAGTATTTTATTTCAAGAATTTTCTTGACAAGTGTTTTAAAAGTATTTTTAAAGATTAATTATATATTATTTGTAATAAAAATTTATATTAAATGTAATAATTGATTTTTTTTATTTATGAAAATTTGGTACAATAGTTTTAAGATATGATTCGTATGGACCTATATACAATATCACAGGGTCCAATAGTTTTAGATGTATCAAACATTTTTTTTAAGTCAATTTGCACCAATTTCAAATTTCAATTGAGTTGGATTGAATAATTTTTGTATTTTATTTTCTAAATTTCAAATGTTATTGGTGTGGTTGGAATGATAAACTAATTTTAAATAGGGCTAAATATAAAAATGGCTCTTATATTATATATTTTTGTCAATTTGATATTTGAACTTTCATTTCATTATCTATTTTAGTATTTAAGACTAATATTATCAGTTAACTTGCTGACGTTATACAAACATTCAATAAAATATTGACATGTATAAAAAAAAAGTCAATCAACACCACATCATTAATTACCACGGTAGTATTAAAAAAATTCACATAATTTCTAAAAATTGCTAAAATTTTTTAAATTTTTCATAAAAAATCTAAAATATTTTTAAAAATAATAAAAAAATTGAAATATTTAGAAAAATTTTTAAAATTATGAAAACTTAAAAAAAAAACTCAAAATTTTAATGAAATATCCAAAAAATTCAAAAAAGTTCAAAAAATTAAAAAGTTTAATAAAAACAAAATTATCTTAAAATTAAAAAAAAAAAGATTCACCAAAAATTAAAGATTGAAAATAAAAATCTCAATTTTTTTGAAAAGAAATCTAAAAATTTTTAAAAAATTGTAAATTTTTTAAAAAAAATTATGAAAAATTTTCATTTGTTTTGAATTTGTCAATTTTAATGTTTTAATATTTTATGAATTTTAAGAAATTTTGAATTTTTTTGGATTTTTAGTAAAATTTTTATTTTTTATTTCTCATAATTTTTTAAAATTTTTAAAATTGTTTTGTTATTTCAAAATTTTTAAAATTTTTTATTTTTTTAGAATTTTTAAAAAATCGAACAATTTTTCTATAAAATTTAAGATTTTTTTAATTTTAAATTTTTTTTTCAAAAAAATTGTATATTTTTTTATTTCCAATATTTTTAAAGTTTTTGTGAATCTTTTTTTGAATGTTTATAAAATTTTATTTTTACTAAATTTTCTTTTTAAAGATTGTTTTTGGATTTTTTATTAAAATATTGAGATTTTTTGAATTTTTAAAATTTTTATAATTTTTAAAAATATTTCATATATTTTAATTTATTAATATTTTAGAAAATTTTGAAAATGTTTAAATCTTTTTGAAAATTTTTGAAAATTTTAAATTTTTTTGAAGTTTTTAATATTTCGTGCAATCGAAAATATGTCGTTGTTTGATATTTTTTTACATATATTAAAATTTTATTAGATATTTGTGTCATTTTATTAAGTCGACTAATAGCAAATTTTTTATATCATTGTAATAGAATACTTTACCTCACAAAAAATTATACTTAGTCCCTTCTTTTTTAGTAAAATTACTATTTGGCTCTTCTTTTCTCATAATTCTATGTTACCTCTAACTAACAGAATTAATATAAAATACCAAAATAAATGTGGAACGAAAATCTTAATACCAGATTAATAATTTTATTTTTTTAAAGTATGAAATTAATAAAAAATATATAATACATGAATTATTTTTATATTTAATCTTTATAAATATTCAATCTTGAAATTTTAAAATTTTATCATCAAGACGAGTTTACATGAAAGAAATTAAAATTTAAAAATATAATTGAATGTTATACCTGATGGTATTTTTTAAATGTGATTGTACTAATAAAAATGAAAATTTGGATTCATTTCATTTTGCATGGAATAGAACAATGGACTTTGGCTCCAATATGAAAATTCCAATTCTAATCCTTTCTCAGTTACAGCGCTTGAATTTAATTGAGCCAAATCCAAAACGACAACGTGTAGACATCCTTGCTTAACTTAAAAACCACCCGCAAAAAATGAAAATCCGACCGACCAAGTAAGATTCTACTACGGCGGACAGAGTAAAGTGAAAGTATCAATCAAAGACAAAATCTCAAAAGCCATCTGAATTCTAAACCCCTGGGTCGCCTGACACCGTTCCACTCAGCTGTCTCTTTCCCCTTTCTCTGTCACAACATTCTCTCTTTTCCATCTTTCTTTCCTTCCCTTTTCCCCTCTTTTTATATGTATTTTGGTCCGAAAAATGCCAATCAACAAAGACCCCGCTACTCCCCTGCCCATGATCGGCAAGATCGGCCCCTACACTGTCTTTGTCACCCCTCCTTCTACCCCTAAGCCCACCGAACCACCTGTCCTTGAATCTCCCAAGAAGGTGGTGAGGCCTCCTGCTCCTGCTCCTCCTCCTCCTGTACAGCCACCGCCCCAACAGTTTGATAAGTCTTTTGTTGCTTCCCATTCTGATAGCTCCGTTCTGGGTTTCTTCAAAAATGCTGCCTTCAAAGTCCAAAATGGTATCTACTTTTTCTCTGCTTTTTATTATTTTTTTTAAAGAATTTTCTGGGGTTAATCATAATGCAGTTTTGCTTTTTTTAGTTTAAAAGGAAATGAAATGGGCTTATCTATGGAAACTTTAGATTAGGATGGCGGATAAGCTACAGTTCAATTCTTTTCATACCTCTTCATTTTGTTGACAATAAACAGAAAACAAGCATTGGTATTAGTATCTTTCTTTGTTAATTTTTTTGCAGCTCATTCAAGCTTGGATAACCATTTAGCTCGCTGGTTTGGCTTAAATCAGTCCAAGTATCAATGGGCATTGGACGATTATTATGAAAGCAAGGGATTGGTAAGTATAAATAAATTCGTTTAATGGTTCATTTTCAAGGGAAAATTATTGCTTTGTTAGGTTAAATCGAAGTGTTGCTGAAGGTACTTGTGAAGTAGCTTATAAGCAATTACTTTTTTTTTTTTTTTTGGTTATAAACAATGATATATCCTTATCATATCATTCACATTGTGTGACCCTCTTCAATTCATTTGGTGTTTCTAAATATAGTTTAAAGTTGGTTTCTTGATCTTAGTTGAGGAAGCTTGGAAATCTTCTTTCATTCCTTTCTTGGATTATATGGGCATGTTATGTGTGAAATTAAGGTTGCATATGGTTTTTGGTATTTCAGAAATGAAGAAACGGTTTGGCATCTTTAGATCTTTTAGAGGAAATGGTTCTAGATCAAGTAGAGAGAGGTAAAGGAATTCACTTTTCCAGATAGAGAGAGGGAGGGGATTACTGGTCTCTAAAGCAGATCTTATACACATAAAACCTTTCAAGTATTGTTGTATACCTAACGCTTGAGATAATAGATCTAGTTATGTCATTCTTGCACCTAAAGAATTACATTTGAAACTTCATTTCTCAGCTTACGGTTGTAGTTGTTAGTGATTACTATCTAGAACCGGTGTTGGAAGACTCTAGAATATTGGTAGAAAAGAATTTTCTTAAACATGAAGTGATGCTTTGAGGATGCATTGTGGATAATAAAATCTAGTCAATTTGTTAAGTAAAAATATAGTAACATCCTCCAAGAATCCCTCGTATTTTTGTTTAACTTGTGAGAGAGACTTGCTTGGTGCGGTAGGTACTGTCAAGGAGTTAAAATTACTTTATGAAACCTAGACATTGGTGCATGATCTTTTATAAGAGTTAGGGGACATAATTTGAACTTGAATCAAAGTGTTTTAGTTGCTTATCCCCAAATCAAACATTAAGGATTCTTGCTGCTTGAAACCACAAACCTTTGGACAAAGCAAAGAACCCATTTTGATTTTGCCCTTACTTGAGTTGAATGTCAAGAGCTTTTGCATCCTGTGCATGTAGGATTTTGATGTTCTGTCTCTGTTTCACTCTTCAGTTCATTTTTTGTTTGAAACCCTGAGCAAATTCTCTGATGTCCTCTTCCATTCCTCCCCTGGAAGGTTATCTTGACCTAACTCCAAAATGTATCACCTTTTGTTGAAGTTCTTAACTACTTTTAGCTTAAAGCCATGTATACAGTTTGATCATCAAGGTTATCCACAATATTGGGGAGCTTGTTGTCATTATCTTCCAGAACCTGTAAATTTGATGGAATTCAGCAAAGTACATGTAGCTTGATAGTCTATTGATGATTTTAGCATAGCAGCAAGATACGTTCGGGTACTAAAATGTTGTATGGGGTGAACTTTTTTGCTATTAAGGTTACCTCATTCATAAGTGGCCCGATCAATTAGGGTATGGCAAGGGAGCATTTATAACATTTTAGAGCTGCTTTAGTTAAGTGATATTTGATTGTAATTATAGTAAGCTTTGACTTTTTAGTTGGATGGCCAGGTAAAGAGGGAATAAAAATTGAATTAGAGAATACAGATAGAACAAAAGCATATGTTTGCTCCACTATGTATAAATCTCCAGACTGGACTACCTATACTTGCAATACTTTTATATACATGCATATTCTTCTTGATTAATGTAGAAAAGTTAGAGCCACGCTGTAGTTGCCACATTTCATCTTGTTTTCTGGAAGTGCTACTCAGATTAGTGTATGATGTTACATTATCAACTTAATGTCTATAGGTGATTAATCCTATTGAAGTGCATTGCTTTTATTATGTCAGAGACGCACACCACGGAAGTAACATTGGTGTTGTATGTGAAAGGTTGTTCATATAATTGTTTTCACTATGTTAAGATTACTTGTCATTTTCACTACAACTACTTGATGCTTATGATATTGACTTGATTAAACATTTTAAATTATTTTTATTGCAGGAAAAGGCAGGTGTAAAAGTGAAAGAAATATCAAGCAAAATACAGAGTGTGTAGCATACTTCTGGTCTGGTAATGAGATGTTTGAAGTCTCCTCTTTTTCTTTTTCTATTGTTTTCTCTTTTCAAAATTTTTTATATATGTAATGATGATATTTTAATCACAGTGGATTTTGCTGTTCTGCCAAACTTGCACCAAGTGAGGATGCTTGTTGTGTCTCCTTTGTGAATTATATCTATATACTTAGCATTTCGAATGGCCAAAAGACATTTGGATTCTTGAAGTGATCTTTGTTGACATCTGGATATCAGATCCGATTGTATGTTCTTCTCTACCTTCTACTGCAGCAGCTAACTGACCTTGTTTGTGTGCTAGGCTGGGAGTTGCGTAATCTCCTTACAATGTCCATCTCTAGCATTGAGATTTCTATAAACTGCCAAGGACATACCCTTTATGTATTGTACTTTTATTTTATTAAAAGCATTATTTTGCAGTATCAGTTTCACATTCATGCATTTCTATCACTCTCTCATGCATGTATATGCATGCGGGCAAATGATACGTTTATCTTATTGATTCAATTTGTTGGCCAAACTGCCAACTATTGGGTGGTTTAAGATTAAAATATGTATACTTCAATAGGGGTGGCAATGGCTCTTGTTCAGTTTCTTGGTTTGCTAGGTTTAAGATGAAGTTTCACTCTTCTGAAAATGCAGTAATCATTATCTTGCTGAGGTTACTCTTGAGCATGCGAAAATGTTCTGAGAGGATAAAAGCTAAGTTAAACGTGACTCTAAACTTCAAAACTATTAAGATTAATGACATCAGAAACAGTCAGGGGATGTGGAATCTGGATGAGATGGAAAAGAAGCCAATCGGATTCTCTTCTCAAAAGCTGAGGATACTACAAACAATTTCTCCCCTGGTTCTGGGGTTATTTATGCAAGAGTTTTCTCTAAAGGTTTATTTATGGCTTTGAAATTTCTGAATGGAATTGTCAGATACGAGAAGAGAAGAGCACTTCCTAGCATAAGCGATTGCTGTAGAGTGAACCAATCGCCTTTATCCTGTACAGATATATGCGTTTAGGATACAGATTGTGGGATCTTCTCTTGCAGAATTCATTGCCAATGGTGGAAAACATTCACGGTTAAATCCCAGAAACAAACAAAGCAGCGACAAAGCACCAGATGTCACTATTATTACGTTGTATTGTTTCTATTTGCTTCTATGTTCTGCTAAATACAACTAGCATTGTGCGAATAGGAGGGTCACTGGGGCATAAAAGGGTTCACACCATCTCCGCCTTGTGAGGTGCCTTTTGTAGGATAAAATCGTGAGGTCAGGGGGGCCAGAGCGGACAATACCTCACAAGGGTGTGAACCGTAGCGAAAGGCTGATCTGGGACGCTGGAAGGGTGAATGCCCTGGTCCCGGAGCCGCGCGGGTTGGAGCTTAAGTCTCGACCCGTGACAAGTGGTATCAGAGCCAGCCCTAAACCGTTCGATCCACATCAAGCACCTCGAGGGAGGTAGGCAGGGTGGTCAGCCTCCGTGACGAGGGCGTCACGAGGTTTTTTGTTTTTAAACAGTGAAAGGAAATAATTGTATAGTAGTTGAATATAAATATTGATAATTATTTTGAGAAAAAAAAGTAGCAATAAGTGTTATTTGGTAAAAAGATTGAAGAGAATGAAAAAATTAAAGAGGAAAAAAGTAAAATTCATATGAATAGCAGGGTGAATGTAGAGATATGCAATTTTAAAAGGGGAAAATAGAAGACAAACAAATTGTGAATGTATTTTTAAGTTTTAGGATTATAACAATAGGGAAAAAAATGAATAAAAGATGATCAATTGTAGTCGTTTGTTCACATTGTTGTGATCTCCACTGCGTACAAAATTTTTAATACTCATAGTTTTTGTTGTGACGAATGAATTTTGATGGAGATGCATGGAAGGTGTACAATCAAGAGTATTGGTGTGTTATAAAAAAAAAAAAAAAAAAAAACGTTTCGTACATATTAAACATAGGATTTAAGATTTTGTAAGATAAGAGTGTCTACTTCGCTTCAACTAAATACTATGGTTACCATTTTAAAAAACGAAAATTTTTAAAATTCTTAAAAGATAAATATTTGTTATGTTTCAACTTAAAAAACGCAGCGTTTGAAATTTTTAAACAAAAAGCCCTATTTTGCATACACAAATGTTGTTTTAGTTTTTTTTTTTTTCAATGAAATCTGTATATAATCTTTCTCAAATGTAGTTATGGTAAAATTTTTTTTTGAAAAAAAATTAAATTACAAAAGTTGCAGGAATTTGTCTTTGGTAAAGAAAATAAATTCAATAGAATGATAGCATGCTAAATATATAGCATATAAAACAGTGAATAAGGTCAAAGTGATAGGTTTATGTTTTTAAAAGCATAAACATATTTGATTTAAATATAATAATTAAAACACTACATTTTTTATATCAGAAACTTAGGTGGGATAAATTTTATAAACATTGTATTTTTTAAAGTAATAATGTAGTTTGTAATCTAAAGATTGTTAATACTATATTTTTAATAGCAGAAACATAGTTCTTAATTGGGAAAAACCAAATTATGTAAACAAGTTTTAGATTATTTATTGGTTAATATTTATGTTTGATATATAATATTTGAAAAAAATATTCCACAAGTTTTATTGAGTTATGTAGATGATGCTATAGTTGAATATGCATTTGAGAATGTTAAAGAAAACTTGCAAGCATATCTTACGATTCATGGAATTCTAAATTACGAAGCAAAGTGTGAAAAGATTAAGAGTCAAAATGCATTCTGTCAAAATGATGAAGTGGAAGAAATCATCTGGTGTTGTGAACTAAAGATCTTAAACTTTGCTTCTTTATCATGTTTAAAGGTATTGTAGTATATTAAACATTGGATATCATCAATTCCAATTTCGAATTCCGGATAATTTTTTGGTTAATATTTATGGTTTATATTTAATGTTTTAAACAAATATTCCAGAGATTGTACTAAGTGATATAGATGATGCTTTTACCTTTGAATTTGCATTCGAAAATCTTAATGAAAAGCATAAAGGGTATCTTAAGGTTCATGGAACTCTAAATGCAAAAACAGAGCATGAAAAGATTAAGAATAAAAATGCATTTTGAGAAAATGATGAAGTGACAGAAATCATTAGATCTTGTGAATTAGAGATCTTTCGTTTTGCTTCTTTATCATCTTTAAATATATATATTTAAGTTGATATTTAATGTTTCGAATGAATATTTAACGGCTTCTATTGAGTGATGTAAATGATGGTCGACGTATATGCATTCAAGAATATTAGCAAAAAGCTTAAAAGGGTATCTTAAGGTTCATAGAACTCTAAATACAGAAACAGAGTGTGAAAAAATAAAGAATAAAAATGCATTTAATGAAAATTATATTTAAAAGTATCATAGCATATTAAATATTAGATATTATCAATTGCAATTTAGAATATAGATAATTTTTTTGTTAATATTTATTTTTAATATTGAGTATTCAAAATGAGTATTTCAGAGATTCTAGTAAGTTATATAAATGATGCTCTAATTAAATATGCAATCAAGAATCTTAAGTGAAACCTTAAAGTGAATTTTAAGGTTTATGAAACTCTAAATGCAAAAGCAGAGCATGAAAATACAAAGAATAAAATAGATGAAATACTCAAGTAATAGCTATCTATTCAAGAATGATACATAGATGAATAGTTGATTTGTAAATAAATTAAAAGTCTTTTACAGATATTCAGTAAGTAATTATAATCACTTCATGCAAACTATTCCAAGTAGTTTAGACAAATTTTTTATTACCGATCGCCTTTTTGGTTAATTGCATTGAATTTTTTAGGTTCTGTTCGAATGAAGTTGCAGTGTTCTCCTGGATTAAGCTTGTTGTCAATTGCAAATTGACGTCAACCTCTGTAAAAAGCTTTATTTTTTCCTTCACATATAAATTTTTAAAATAATTGTTATTAATCGAATGATTATTTTTAATATGTACAGGATTATGAGAGAAATATACAAATTGTGATAAAAATAAAGTATACAAATTGATAATAACAATTATAAAACAAAGAATTCTCAAGAAAAATAATACTAAGAATTTAGGATTGTTAAACAATTGAAGAACACCATTAAAAAAATAATAATAATAATAAGGAAAAACTAGATCTATCAAGAAAGTTTTCGTTTCTTGTAAATAATAATAAGAAATTTTCTTAGAATAGAACCCTAAATTGTTAAGAGAAAAATTGATGAATGAAAAATTGATTCTTTTACCATGGAATCATTTAAAACTGTTGATTGCACTATTATTTTGATAAACTGCGGTAAAAAAAAATCTGTAGAAAACATTGTTGGGCACAATAAAAAAAGTGGGGCAATCAATTGTTGAAAAATGAATAGGTGCAACGATTTAAGTATTATCATGGCTGAGAAGATGAAAAAGTTAAGTTAGAAATGATGTTATATGACTACTGGGTTTAGGTTTCTATTTTTTTTTAAAAAATGTAGTTGTTTAAAAACATTTTTTCGATGAAATAATTCTTTTATACATACACAAACATAAAGTCTTTATATATATTTTTTTAAATTTTAAAATATTATGTAAATTTTTATTCCAATACTATGTTTGTAATATAAGAATTGGAGTAAATATGATATTAATAAATGACTTAAGAAACAATAAATTTAAATTTAAATGCAAAACTTTTTTTTTTAATGATTGGAGACAATAAGTTTATAACATTTGTTTAAAGAGTTAAAAATAAATAATAAATAATAATGACCACGTTTATGATAGTATAAGCGGAGTATTTAATTAAATATTACAAAAATTATATTTTTAAAACTCAAAACGGGATATATTTCATTAAAATGAAAATATTTAATTGGTAATTGTAAATTTAATTTTAGGAATATGGTGTAAGTAAACTAATTAAGAAACAAAAATAAAAAACTTAAAAGTAAACTTTAATTTTACGAATGAAAACAATATGATTATAAGGTTTGTTTAAATAACAATAAATAAATAAACAAACTGATAATCACTATATTTATCATATCACAAACAGAGTTTTTCATTGCATATTATAAATACTATATTTTTTAAAGTAAAAACAAGAAATTTAATTAAAAAATGCCAATAATACAGTTTTCACACACAAAGGTAACTTTGAATTGTGAAAATTTGTTTCCAAATTTTAAGTTATTTAAAGTATAAATATATTTTATTTAATAAATTTTTTTTTTTTGCACTATGTTTTCTAAACCAAGAAGGAGTGTTTATAAAAGTATAAGTTAGGTATTTGATAAAAAAATTATATTTAAGTGATAATTATGATTTTTTTTTTGAGAATACAATATTAATAAACCACTTAAGAAACAAAAATAAAAAACTTAAAAGCATAAATTTTATTTTTAGGAATGAAAATAATAAGATTATAAAGTTTGTTTAAATATCAATAAATAAATAAATAACTGATAATGATCGCATTTATCATATCATAAACGGAGTATTTCATTATAGATTTTAAGCACTATATTTTTTAAAGTAAAAACGAGGTATATAATTAAAATGATAATAATATGATTTTTACACACAAAGGTAATCGTGAACGATGAAAATTTTTTTCCAAATTTTAAGTTATTTAAAGCATAAATATATTTTATTTTAACAAAAAAAATTTAGCATCACGTTTTTTAAACCAAGAATCGAGTCATTATGAAAGTATAAGTTAGGTATTGGATTAAAAAAATATATT